GTATACAAAGGCTGTTGATTTTTGTGCATTGATTTTATATCCTGCCACTTTGCCAAACTCCTCTATGAGTTCCAGTAGTCTCTTAGTAGAGTTCTTTGGATCCTCTAAGTACAGAATCATATCGTCTGCAAAGAGGGATAGTTTGACTTCTCCCTTCTTGATTTGTATTCCTTTGATTTCTTTTTCTTGTCTGATGGCTCTGGCTAAAACTTCCAGAACTATGTTAAATAGCAGTGGTTGAGAGTGGGCATCCCTGCCTGGTGCCAGATTTCAGTGGAAATGCTTCCAACTTTTCCCCATTCAATAGGATGCTGGCTGTGGGTTTTTTATAAATTGCTTTGATTATATTGAGGAATGTTCCTTCTATACCCAATTTGCTTAGAGTTTTCATCATGAAAGGGTGTTGAATTTTATCAAATCCTTTCTCTGCATCAATTGAGATAACCATATCGTTTTTCTTCTGCAGTCTGTTAATGTGGTGAATCACATTGATTGATTTGCGAATGTTGAACCATCCCTGCATACCAGGGATGAATCCCACTTGGTCTGGGTGGATGATTTTCCTGATGTGTTGTTGTATTCTATTGGCCAGAATTTTATTGAGGATTTTTGCATCTATGTTCATCAGGGATATTGGTCTGTAATTTTCTTTCAGTGCTGCATCTTTCTCTGGCTTAGGGATTAAGGTGATGCTGGCTTCATAGAAAGAATTTGGGAGGATTCCCTCTTTTTTGATTGTTCTGAATAGTTTGAGAAGAAATGGGATTAGTTCTTCTTTAAATGTCTGGTAGAATTCAGCAGTGAATCCATCTGGTCCTGGGCTTTTCTTTGTTGGGAGGGCCTTTATTACTGTTTCAATTTCTGTTTCAGTATGGGTCTATTTAGGTTTTCGATGTCTTCATGGTTCAATTTTGGTAGATTGCATGTGTCCAGGAATCTATCTATTTCTGATAGGTTTCCCTGTTTGCTGGCATACAGGTCCTTGTAGTAATTTCTGATGATTCTTTTTATTTCTGTGGTGTCTGTTGTTACATTTCCTTTTTCATCTCTGATTTTATTGATTTGGGTCTTTTCTCTTCTTTTTTTAGTTAGTTGGGCCAATGGGGTGTCAATTTTGTTTATTTTTTCAAAAAACCAGCTTCTCGCTTGGCTGATTTTTTGTAATGTTTTTTTGGATTCAATCCTGTTAATTTCTTCTCTGGTTTTAATTATTTCTCTTCTCCTACTAGATTTGGGTTTGGTTTGCTGCAGTTTTTCTAGGTCCTTGAGGTGCGCTGAAAGTTCATTTATTTGGTACCTTTCCAATTTCTTGATATAGGCACCTATTGCTATAAATTTGCCTCTCAATACTGCTTTTGCTGTATCCCATAAGTTTTGATATGTTGTGTTGTTGTCTTCATTTACTTCCAGAAAGTTTTTGATTTCTCTTTTGATTTCGTGAATGACCCAGTGTTCATTCAGGAGCATGTTTTCAGTCTCCATGTGTTTGCATACTTTCTGGGGTTTCCTGAGTTGCTAATTTCCAGCTTCATCCCGCTGTGGTCTGAGAAGCTGCATGGTATGATTCTAATTCTTTTAAATTTGCTGAGACTTGCTTTATGGCCTAGTATGTGATCAATCCTAGAGAAGGTTCCATGTGCTGCTGAGAAGAATGTGAAGTCTGTAGATGTAGGATTGAAAGTTCTGTAGATATCTGTTAGATCCATTTGGGCAATAGTGTCAATTAAATCTGCTGTTTCCTTGTTGATCTTCTGTCCGGATGATCTATTTCTGAGAGTGGAGTATTGAAGTCCCCCAGTACTATTGTATTGGAATCTAAATCTCCCTTTAAGTCCCTTAACATATCTTTTAAATAGACCGGTGCCCTGTAATTAGGTGCATATACATTTATAATAGTTACATCTTCCTGTTGAATTGAACCCTTAATCATTATATAGTGTCCCTCTTTGTCTCTCTTAACAGTTTTTGTATTTAAGTTTATTTTGTCTGATATTAATATGGCTACACCTGCTTTTTTTTGGTTTCTGTTGGCATGGAATATCTTTTTCCAACCTTTCACTTTCAGTCTGCATGCCTCTTTGTTAGAGAGATGTGTTTCTCGTAGGCAACAAATAGTTGGGTTGTGTTCTGTGAGCCAGTCAGCCAAACGGTGTCTTTTAACTGAAGAATTCAGACCATTAATGTTCAATGTGACAACTGATATGTAGTGACTTTGCCCTGCCATTTTCCCGGAAATATTTTCTAGTATATGCTTTGAGCTTCCCATGCTCTTTTACTGGTAGGTGTTTTTCCTTTCCCTTCTTTCATATTGATGGCCGTGTTTCTGTGTTTCTGAGTGTAGCACATCTTTAAGTATCTTTTGCAGGGCCGGATGAGTAGCCACAAAGTCTTTCAATTTCTGTTTGCTATGAAAGGTCTTTATTTCACCTTCATTCACAAATGAGAGCTTGGCAGGATATAATATTCTGGGCTGGCAATTTTTCTCTCTTAGCACCTGTGCTATGTCTCGCCATTCCCTCCTAGCTTGTAGGGTTTCTGATGAGAAGTCAGCTGTGAGTCTGATTGGAGATCCTCTGAGAGTAATCTGACGTTTCTCTCTTGCACATTTTAGGATCTTTTCTTTATGTTTCACTGTGGTAAGTTTAATTACCACATGTCGTGGTGAGGATCTCTTTTGGTCATGTTTTTTGGGGGTTCTATGAGCTTCCTGTACTAGGATATCTCTGTCCTTCTCCAAACCTGGAAAGTTCTCTGCTAGTATCTCACTAAAAAGGCCTTCCAATCCTTTCAGGAACTCCTAGAACTCGAATGTTGGTTTTTTTAATAGTATCCTGTAGATCCCCAACAATATTTTTTAGGTTTCTAGTTTCCTCTTCTTTTCTTTGGTTTGACTGTATGTTTTCCTGTGCTCTATCTTCTAAGTCCGATATTCTCTCTTCTGCTTCACCCATTCTGTTTTTAAGGCTTTCTAATGTGTTTGTCATTTGATCTATTGAGCTCTTCATTTCATTTTGATTTCTCTTGACTATTACACTTTGCTGTTCTACTAGTTTCTGAGTTTCATTTTGACTCTTCCTTAAAATTTCATTTTCACGAGAGAGATTTTCAATCTTGTCCATTAAGGATTTCTGTAGTTCAAGGATTTGCTTTTGAAAACTTCTAAATGTTCTTATCATAAATTTTTTGAAATCCGTATCTTGCATTTCTTCTATCTCATCATCTTCATAATCTTGGCTTGGGGTGTTTTGCTTATTTGGAGGCATCATAGTGTCATCGTTGATCTTGCTCCCTCTATTTCTGTGTTTGTTACTCGGCATAGTTAATTCTTCTTGCATCACTGTGCGTTTTTTTTTCTTTTTTTTTTTTTTTATACTGTGTCCGTGTTAAGTGGACTGCCTGCTGTTGGAGGAGCCTTGGAGGCTTGAGATATGTGCGGCCTGAGAGCTCTGCCTGGTTCTTCCTCCCCTTCCAGTGCCAATGTGTGGACTCGGAGCCCTGAGCATCCCAAGTCTCCCCGTTGTTGTCTGTGTGGCATGCACTCCCCTTGGAGCACTGTCGCGCAGACCTAATTTGTTCTTAAAAACAAATTTCATTGAATCTTGCATGCTCACCTTCCTTGCTGGGGTTTATTCTAGTACATTCAGTTTATTTGATATTTTCCTAATATTCTCTTATCGTCCAAAAATCTTTTGAGAAAAAATCATTTAAATTCCAGATATTAATGTGTCCTAATTTTCAAATTATTTTTCTATTGTAATCTGTTTTATATTTCACTTATATTCTGCTGTGATCTCTATATGTATTTGGTTGTGCAAATATGGGGTTGTTTTCTTGTGTTTTTTTCAAATTATTTATTTTTAATTTTAAACTGTGATGAAAATGTATATTATCTATGATTAAACGGCCAGGGCTGTGGCTCAATAGGCTAATCCTCCACCTGCAGTGCTGGCACACCAAGTTCTAGTTCCGGTCGGAGTGCCGGATTCTGTCCTGGTTCCTGTCTTCCAGGCCAGCCCTCTGCTATGGGCTGGGAGTGGAGTGGAGGATGGCCCAAGTCCTTGGGCCCTGCACCCACATGGGAGACCAGGAGAAGCACCTGGCTCCTGGCTTTGGATCAGTGCGATGTGTTGGCCGCAGTGCACCGGCCACGGCGGCCATTGGAGGGTGAACCAATGGCAAAAGGAAGACCTTTGTCTCTCTCACTGTCCACTCTGTCAAAAAACAAATATCTATGAATAAACATAAAAATTGTGTATCTATTTATGGGACACCATGTACTATTTAGAAACATGCATGCATTGCATAACATTCAAATCAGGGTAAACAAATCTATCTCCTCAAACATATTATTTCTTTTTTTAAAACATTTATTGATTTGAAAGGCATATTTACAGAGAAGTAGAGAGAGAGAGAAGTTTTCCATCTGCTGGTTCACTCCCCAATTGTCCATAATGGCCGGAGCTGGGCCAATCCAAAGCCAAAAGCCTGGAGCTTCTTCTGGATCTTCCATGTGGATACAGGGTCCAAGGACTTAGGCCATCTTCTATTGCTTTCCCAAGGAATAGCAGAGAGCTGGATCAGAAGTGGGACAGCTGGGTCTTGAACCAGCACCCATATAGGATGCTGGCACTGCAGGCAGTGGCTTTACCTGCTACACCATAGCATTGTCCCCAAACATATCATTCTCATGGTGAAAATACACAAAGTTCTTTCTGTTAATTTTCATTTGTTTTAAAATTTCTTATGGTAAACAAATTTCATTTATTTCATAAATACAGATTTAGGAGCATAGTATCTAAATAAACATTTAACATTTATTTAAATTAAATAAGCATTATCATTATGCATTGTCACTCTATTGTGCAATGCAACAACAGAACTTTCATCCCCAATGTGTAGTGTAGGATTTTACTATCACTTGTACCATTTACATTTCCGTATCCTCTCTTACCATAGTCTCTTCAGATTCTGGTAACTATCCAAACACCCCGACTTCTGAGATCAGCTTTATTATATTTCACATATGAGTAGAATTTTGTGACTTATTTTTCTGTTCCTACCATGCTACCTAGATCCTCCTAGTAACAGGTGTGTTTCCTAATAGGGCTTCAGACTCTGACAGCTCCCACGTACCTCCCCATGATGGCCCCTGGAGTATGCTGGGAAAACTGGGAAGCACTTGCTGCAACTCTGATGGAAGTCTCATTCAAGAGGTGACAGTGGCAATGAGTTCTGTACATTGAGCATGAATCAGCAAGGCCCTGCTAGAGTGCTAGAGCATACACATCCACAGAACACTCATGGGCTTATTTTATCCACATGCACAGTGGCACAGCCATTAACTACACAGGGGAATGCAGTCCAGGTGGGGAGAGCAAGAAACAGCTGGAGTACAACAGGAGCTAGAGTTTGCCAAACTACAGAAAACTGACCAGTCTCTTGCTGCCTCTGCAGGGGCCAGAAGAGAACAGGAGGAGAGTAGGATTTGGAGAGATGGGGCTGCTCTTTGGACAGGGATGTCCGCCACTCTGAGTCAGGGTCCTCACAGTGTGCAGATATCCTAGGTACTCTCAACATCAGCCTCAGTGTTGGGTGCATGAGTGTCAGGAAAAGTAAGAGTGATCCACCCCTTTACCCCTCTCCTGCATCAAGAAAATTTAGGTCCCTGTTCCTCCTATAGATTGTACAGCTCAGGGTCCCAGGCAGGCTGTGCTCAGTTACACTCTCCCCTTTCCACCATTCCAGGAGGACTCCCTGGAGCCCAATGTTGACAGCACGAGAGAGATGGGGCAGTATTAGAGCAGAAGGCATCAGATTGGATCAGCAGGGCTGGTGTGAAGACTCTTATGTGGAGGAGGTTTTACCATTGTATTACTCAGTTCTTATTGAAGGAATGGAAGCAGAGTATGTGAACCTTAGGAAGGTGTAGTAGGTTTGTGTGGGGACTCACTGAAAAATTTTGATTCAAAATTAAAAGGGCTTAAAAAGTTGTTACAAAATATAATTGCATTTGGGGAAGGAGAATGGGTTGGAGGTAGAGGATTGCAGGAACCTAGGACCTTGTATAGCAAGTGATAGAAGGCACTGGTATATCTGGTCACATGGAATACCTACCACAGATCTTATTTTTCACCTGTTTCCGAGACCCCAAGATCCATCCCTGGAGATTTTTGTTATTCTGTGGGCTGAGGAGGCTGACTTTGGCCCTAGTATCTGTGGAGTGTACCATTGTGACAGGGCTGGTTCCATGATGTCACTGTTGCCCAGCACCCCTCTCTCTGTGTTCTACTGCAGTTAGAGGCTTACTGACTTGGAGGTTTTTTTTTTATTTTTTATTTAGGAAGCTCATTCATCACAGGAGGACACAGGTGACTGCAACCTGCTTTCTTCATTTCCTGCTGAGTTGGGGACAGTCCCTGCAAGGTATGTGGCCCTGATTTCTCCTGGCTAATGAGGAAGGTGATATTTGCTGTACCCTCAGTGGAGTCCACTGTATACTGCTTATGAATATAGTTGTTTCTGACCCTGTGGGATGGGTGCAAATTTCCCTTTGATATGGATCTGTGGAGGGACATGAGTCCCTGGGGAGCCATTGTAGTCAACAGTGATCTTAGAGCTGTGGGTGCACCAGACTCAGAGACTTCATGACCTATAATGGGATGGTGATGGCCCTTTATGATGGAAAATGTGGCTGCTGGAGGATACTCACAACCCAATCTGTGTGAGGAGCAGTCTTCCTGTGTGTCAAGGAAGCTGGACAAAGACCCTAAGTCTGATGCTCCTTCTGTCCCTATACTTTAAAGAAGTCACCTTTCTGGAAACTAGACTCCAGGTGTCATACACCTGTCTGTGGACCTGAATCTTCCTTTGATGAAATTGACAAGAGCTCTGTGAGGAGTAGTTCCCTTCAGTTATCCAGTATTGCTTTATGTACAGATTTTTGTCCCGTAGCTTTTAGCAGATGTGGGCCCTGAAGGTGTAGTAGGCAAAAGGGTGAACAGACACCATAGCCAAAGATGAGCAGTTACAGACCTGGATACTCCACAAAGGAGGAAGAATCCAACCTTGTTCTATGCCTATGGTCACAGGGCCCTGGGATCCCTCAGGACAGACAGGCTGCCCTGCTGCCCCAAGACTCCAAGTGCCTCTGGTCATTCACCTGAGTCTTGTTCATTGAAGCATTACAAAGGAGGGAAGCAGGTGGGGCCTAGGGAGGAGAAGGATGTGAGCTGCTGCCTAGTCATAGACAGGTTGGGGATCCTACAGTGAGTCGTCTGTCTGCATCTCACCCAAGTAGTGAGACCATTTTTAGAAACACCTGCCTTGAGATAAGACAGGTCTCCACAGGGTTGGAACCCTGTTTCTGGCTGCCATCACAGTGCTCATCCTGGTGAACATTAGAGTAGAGCTGACTGACCCATTGAGTGACCCAGGGTAACTGGCAGGGATGGAGCTGGATGTGAGGTAGTTGTGGTTTATGCAGTGCTGAGGCCTCTTCTGCATGAGGGGAGGGCCATTTTGAGGTCTCACTCTGTGCCTGATGGAGCTTGCCTTTTTCTGCACCATTATATAGGTTGTGTCCCAGGGTTAAAGGCATCTATTCCTTAATTGTGGCCAATGGTCAGAAAGGAGCCAGTGGGTCCATGAGTCTCAGGGGGTCAGTCTAAAATCTCTTAAAGAAGGCCCAAGGGAGCCACCATCTTTGAAAAAATATGATCCAGAGAATAAGAATTTCAGGGTAGGCCTTGTAAGTGTGCTTAAGACACAAACAAACATGAAACTGTTTTTCCTATCTGAGACTACAGTCAAATTATGCAGGTTTCCAAAGCCTGGTGTTTTCATGGTGTAGTTGATGGAATCATTACAATATAAGATGGAGGTGTCTTCTAACTTGATGTAGGCTTATGAGGCAGCTTTGGTTTTTTTCTTTGATGGATATGCAGGGATGTGCCTGTGTTATGTTCCTACTTATCTCAAAATCTTCAGTAAGTTCTTGATAATTGTAAAACTTGCTCTGAGGTGTTTTGTGGGAAGTTAGAAAGTCAAATATAACAGTTTAGTTGGCTGGGAGAGCAGTGCAACTTCCTATCTGAGATAGACTGTGGGCATCCTGAAAACTATCCAGGACAGTTTGAAGGACAACTCTATACTCATGAAGGACACTGTGGGCATTGAGGTGGCAATGTATTAGGGTTCTCTGTCCCAACTCAGTGTTGTAAAGGAGGAAAGACAAGAATCAGAAGGATTCCTGGGAAACTCAGATTTAGCTGAGGTAACCATCAAGAGGGGCTAAATTCCAGCAATTATGGTAGATGATATTGACAAGTAATGGTTCAAAGATCATAAAAAATAAGAAAAGCTATATTTTAGCAGATACGGGGTGCACAATAACCTATGAGTCTTTCTAGTTAAATGGCTAGATATGTTGACATGATTTCGGGTATGTAAGTTTTTATCACTTGAACTAATGGTTCCATAAAACATAGGCACTGTTAAGAATTCAATAAAAATGCTAAAATACATATGCTTATTTCCAACCTGAAGTAATTTTTCCCATTTGTTCTCAAGCCTCACAGTGAGCAGCAAGATAAAATTGCCTCAAATACACAAATGTCATACAAACTTGAATTTATTTGTTTAAAATTTTTATTTTCTTGAAAGGCACATACAGATACAAAGAAATAGTCCAGAATTGAATTTTGAAAAATAAGTTAAATGATTAAGTGTAAATAAAAGAATGGCTATTTTATGATTAATCTCCCCAGGGGTGTTTCCCCCTTTTCTTTTGTTTTTGAAGAAGGGTTTTAAGCATATGATGGGCCTGCTCAGCAATGGCTTTCCTGCAGGATTATGGGGAATGCCATGAGTAAGTTTAATATCTCATAATTGACAAAAATGATTGAATGCAGAAGAGATATAGGTGGGCCTATTATCAGTCTTTAATTGAATAAGTTTGTCTATGACAGCCATGATTTTTCCTTTGGAGAAATAGTTTCTTTATAGCAAAGATAAAAGGAAATTTTTATGTATATTTTATATAATTCATATATTCTTTTTGCCACATTACAAACTTATACACTTTAAGAAAAAAGAAGTAGGGGGCACAAGTAACAAATCTTACATTATGGATAATGCTTTACTTGTCAAGATAAAACTAATGTAAATGGTTTATACCATCATCTTTCCTCCAAATAGATTTTTATAAACAAAAGTCTGGGCTTGATTTATTAAAAAAAAATTGAACACAATGACATAGCAAGTAGATTCTGTGAGAACTGAGCCTGGATCAAGGTATAACTATTTTTAATTAGGCCTCCATCTTGTAACTTGGGCCTGACCAGGCACTGAACTCTGAGCCAGAAGCTCCTAAAAGTAAATAAATGAACTCCCCTTGCAATAAACTCTCCTAGCAACAGCTGATTAACAGATAACAGAGAAATACCTAGAGTTCCTGGTGTCTTCTCAGGGCAGATAAGGTGATTGATAGCTACCCAAGACCCTGCAGTTCAACAAGTACACCCCATCAGCTCAGACCCCATGCTTCGGCCAATCAATTCAAAAGCATCAACCCCAAAGCCCTCCAACCACCTTTAGTAGGTCTGTTCCCACCACTGGATGCACTAATCAATTCTAAGAGATGTCCTTTGAATTTCCCGTGGGATGAGATGATTTGCTAAATGGTACCATGATGTATAGAATGTCTCTGACACCCTATAAAAACCCTGTTAACTGAAGGGTCTGGGCTCTCAATTCAGACCCACTGCTTCGGTGTTGATTGAGAGTCCAGGTCCAGACCTGCAATAAAACTAGCCTGTGCTTTACAGCAGTATCGGCTCCTTGGTAGCCTTTGGGGACAACTGAACTGGGCATAACAATTCTCCTTTAAGTGGAGTTGTCCAAATGTAATCTGAATGGGTATTAATAATAACATGTAAAGGTACCTCCTTCTTTGAAGACCTGTTCTTTCCACTGGGATCTCACTCACAGAGATCTTTCATTTAGGTTTTTTTTTTTTTTTTTTTTTTTTTTCCCAGAGTGTCTTGGCTTTCCATGCCTGAAATACTCTCATGGGCTTTTCAGCCAGATCGGAATGCCTTTAGGGCTGATTCTGAGGCCAGAGTGCTGTTTAGGACATCCACCATTCTATGAGTCTGCTGAGTATCTCGCTTCCCATGTTGGATCACTCTCCCCTTTATTTATTCTATCGGTTAGTATTAGCAGGTACTAGACTTGTTTATGCGCTTCCTTTGAAAGAAGGAGGTACCTTTCTCTGAAGGGAGGAGAGAACCTCCACTTTTAATATGACCTTGTCTAAACAAGATAAGAGTCGGTGAACTCAAAAGGCTTCCATAGCCTTGGAAACTCATGACTGGTGCATAGGGAGATTATTGATGCCATAAACAGGAGTGTCAATTTCTAAAGTCAACAACAGGAGTCACTGTGCACTTACTCCTCATGTAGGATCTCTATCCTTAATGTGCTGTACATTGAGACTTAATGCTATAATGAGAACTCAAACAGTATATTTTGCTTTGTGTTTCTATGGGGGTGCAAACTGTTGAAATCTTTACTTAATGTATACTAAACTGATCTTCTGTAAAAAAAAAAAAAAAAAAAGAAGAAGAAGAAATTATCAATTCCCAACTTGACTCTCACTGGGATTAAACATGACAATAGGTCTGATCTGATTTCATCATCATTTAAAAAATCATCTATTATTTTTCACTTTATGTTTGTGTGGGAGCAAACTGTTGAAATCTTTACTTAATGTATGCTAAACTGATCTTCTGTATACAAAGAGAATCGAAAATGAATCCTCATGTGAATGGAAGGGGAGAGGGAATGGGAAAGGGGAGGGATGCGGGTAGGAGAGACGATATGGGGGGGAAGCCATTGTAATCCATAAGCCGTACTTTGGAAATTTATATTCATTAAATAAAAGTTAAAAAAATAATAATAACATGTAAATAAGAGAAGGATTTTGACAAAGGACATTGAGTTATGTCCATTTGTCAAAGTTCATTGGCATGATGTGTGCTGGCCTGCAGCACAAAGAACCTGGTTTCCTGAAACAGAAAGTGGGAATGAGGGGACAAGGATGCAAAGAATGGAGCCAAGACAAGTCCTGATCAAGGCTCCTTTATTCAACAAACCCAGTAGTATTTAAACATGACCAGTTGTATACAAGAAGGAGCACAAAAGATTTACATATCAAAAAGACTAAAGAGTTCGGATAAGGTTCTTCCTCTTAACAGAGGTGTGACTGATTATCTACATCATCTCTTGTGAGAAGTTTAGCAGTGAGATAAGGTTCTTCCTGTCTCTTCCTGGAATCTCCTTAGCCTAATTGTCTGTGTCTCCATTCATATGTTTAAGTGTAAACAAAAGGGGCGACTGCCTGTGGCTGCCCACAATGATGGCCT